TAATTTAAGCCGAGTTTTAATTCATATCAACCACTTCCAACATTTTTTAATTCTCGTTGTTAAATTATCAGTCGAAATTATTATTCAATCAAAATTCAAAGTAAATATAATGATATTATTAATTAATTTATTATTTATTTTAAAAGAATATTATGTCCATAGTATTTACTTCTTCAGATGAAGAAGATTTAACCCTTCTCTGGCCCCAATTTGAATTATATTTTAAACCAATTAAGAAAATTAATGGTAACAAGTCTACACTTTGTAAATGTAAATTATGTCCGAACACAAATATTTCAACGTCAATGTCAAGTAGCTCAAACTTAAAAAAACATTTGAAGGTCAAGAATAAATTAATCTATAATTATTTGAAACATATAAAAACTTAATCATGAAATGATTTAAAAAAATTTATTTAAATTTCATTATAGATTTTATTATTAAAATACTATATATATAGCATCTTATTATTTAACCATGTATTTATTTTAATGATAGTACACAATAAAATAAATTTGAAATATATAAATTTTATACAGATTATTATATTAAAAATTTATTATACATAAATATTTTTTAAAAAATAAGATTACAATGAAATTTAAGTATTCTTGTTACTTTTAATGGTATTTAAAAAAATATATATAATTTAACAATTATATTTATAACTAATACAAATGAGTATATTATCAAAATATAAGTAACTTTTTTTGCAAATGCAATACCTTTATAAAAAACATATAAATATTACGACTAAGAATTTATTATAATTAAGTTTTGCATATAAAAATTTTAATACTAAGAGAACATATTATAATCATATTGTAATTTTATTATAATGCTAGAAATTATTCAAAAGCCCTCAAGTAAAACAAATTATATAATATATTTATTAAAAATTTATTAGAGTATATGAACAAGGAGAGAAAATGGATGATGAAATAGTTCCTCTGCCATTATTTGATCTATTTGAAGATCAAAATATTAATGATAGTATTGTATACTTACCTAAGCATCATTCCTCAGCACACACTTTAAATCTTATGTATTGACACTGAAAAGGCACTCAACGATGTCCATTATAAAACCATTTCAAAAATTACATTTTCTAAATGTAAGCTTTTGTGGAATAAACATGGACAATCTTCTAACTGTGCAGCCATTTTTAAGGAAAATATGGGAAGATATTTGATTAAGTCTAACAAGATGGAATTCTTTCTATAACTCTGTAAAATTAATAAATAGTCTTATTAAGGTGACTTACCAAAAATTTGATGAATCTTGCGACAAATCTGGATAACAGAGATTTTCAGATAACGACAAGTCGTTCTTAAATGAATATTGTATGGTTAGTGTTAATTAAAATATAATATGTATATATATGATTTTATAGGTTATGGAACCGATAGCTACGACTCTATTCAATTTTAGAGAGTGAAGAAAATATGCATTTGGGATATCTCACTCCCATTATAAGCATTATAATATCAAAACTTAAAAAATTGGCTTTAAATAATTTTTAGTTTTGTAAGCCGCTTATTGATTCAATCCTTGAATCCATAGATAAAAGGTATACAGTTCAAATATTCCTTATAATTTATATTTTGACTATCATATTTTCAATAGATTCAAACACATCTATGATGATGATTATATACTATCGGCAATAATTCACCCACTATTTAAAATGGATTGGCCCTGGATAAAATTAGAGGTCAATAAAGGAAGAATGCTGGAACTTATTTCCAGTTTGAGAAAAAATATTGATAAAGAAAGAACAGGCTTGATTCCTTTATCCAACACACACTAGAATATTTTCAGATAATGATAAATTTTATTTTGATGAAATGAATGAAGATCTCTGTGAAGATGATCTTTCAAGCTTTTTTCAAAATAAAGATATTTCCTTAAATATTTTTAATAAATTCCCCGAATTGAAATTTTTGTTTATTAAATATAACACCACTCTCCCATCCTCTGCGCCAATTGACATGTGTTTAGCACGGCTAAATGTGTGTTGAGTACTAAGCGCTCATGTTTATCTGATTAAAATTTTAAAAATCAATTGTTAAAAATAAATAAAAAATTGTCACATAAAGATGTCATCTTCTAATATATTATTTTTGTATAATTTTATTCATATTATAATTATATATGAAAATTTTATTATAAAAAGATCTTATCTTATATGTTCTTTTTGTATAGTTTTATTTTATTGTATATTGTCGGAAAAAAATAAATATTTTTTTGCATTATATATAACATTTAATTTTTTAAGTAACGAGTAGCCCGTTACTTTTTTGAAAAGTCGGTAACGAGTAACAGTAACGCGTTCCATTTTTCAGATGTTACGAGTAACGGTAACGCGTTTCTTTTTTGTAGTAACGTTTACAGCACTACTTACAACCATTTTATGGTTGAGTTAATTGTCGTTTATGATTCTATTTTAGAGGGGATACCAATGCTGACATTGACAGAAATATCCTTTTGCGTTCTTCTTTTACCAGTATACCAAGGCATAGGCATATCATCTTTATCAAGACGTAATGTGTTTTGTACACTGCTTTGTTAATCCGTCATTATTTTCATCTACAACCCTAAATGATATAAAATTATACATTAATTATTTCCTCTCCAGACGACCGCCCAGATTTATTTTGTGGCTTTTTCCATCAAAAATTAAAATGTCAACAAGGATTTGCTCTTAATTTTATCAAATACATAATAATTAATCCTCATTATTTTTTAAAAAAATTATCCTAAATTTATATGTCAATAAAAAAAATATCTTAAAAAATATATAAATAATTTGCATATAAGTTTCATTAGTGTTTAATGGCATTTTTGTAATTTAAATAGATAGCATTTTTATTTTACTTAACATAAAAATATATATATCCCTTATCAAATTCTTTGACAAATAATTTTGGAAATGCAAGACATACATTAAATTTATCTGAAAAACAACAATAACCCTATATAATAAACAACAATTTATTTTTTAGATATAATTTTAATTGATCATATTACAAAAAAGTATAAGAGTCGGTTATTTTTATTTTATTTGTCATGATTCTATAATAAGGGGTTGCCCAGGCCTTCCCTTTCCCTTAATACGGTATTTACATGTTTTTTTTCCATATTAGACTAATTGGTAAATCAGATATTTCCCGTTCATGTGATGATATTAAAAATTTAACTATCTCCGAGGCTGGAAAAAATTTTCAAAATTATAATGGGTAGGACTGGGCTTGGAACCTCAAAATTAATATTGGCTTGCATCTGACTTGTGAATATCTTTTACAAATTGGTTGAGCTGGGCTTGATAAACTTTTTTATAATTATAAGATCTTGGATGCTTCTAATATTGTGAGCTTGAACCTGGCATGACATCTATCGTAAACAATAAATAAAAATCTCATTCCCCATAATATTTGACGGGTTTCTATTAGTTTAATATTATTACTACACCTGCTGAGAACATATGATTGCATATTTTAGATATGCAACAATGGTCAACTGTATAGTCGTTTATATATCATTAAAAATGGAAGATAATCTTTTAGAAATTTAATATCTCACAATAATTTTCTTGATTACTCATCTAACTTCCACCATATCATCCAAGAGGACGCTCTAACTACTATATAGTATAGTTTTATGATTTGGATTGGTCGTTTATATTCTCTTCTTCAAGAATTGTTAATTTGATAAGGCCTATAAATTTTTTCTTATTAGTCCATTCTATAAATCATTGTCTAAAATGGTAACAGAGAGTTATATAAGTTTCATGACCTTTTGACAATGTAAGTTGCTAAGAATTATATAGCCTTATGTGGTTTTTAAAAACCATTATCAATTGAGGCATATGTTTAAATTAATTAACCTTTTTTATCACTTGTAATTCTTTAGACGCATATTTTTTTTATATCAGCAATCGAAAATATTGTATACTATAATAAATAGATTTTGTATTAAAAAATATTATTTTTATAAATGTCTTGTATTGTTTTAATTATTTATATGCCAGTTTATTTTGTATGCATAATATAATAAATGACAAAATATGAAATTCATAATAATTGTTCAGATTTAACAAATTTTAAAAAGATAAATATATAAATATAAAATCGGCCCGAAATTGGGGGGTATGAAGGGGGGGCGAAGCCCACCATAATTTTTTTTTAGCTGAGCCCCCTGAGATTGTAAAGGCTAGCGACGCCCCTGAATTACTTCTCTGTTTAATCGTATGTAATAAAAAATTAAATATTTATATCTATATCATATCAAACAAATAACAAAAATCGGCATTAGTTCAAGCAGATCTTTTAAGGATTTTCAGCCTACTCCACAATATATTTTACTATGCACTTATTTTGGCTTAAATTTTTATTTAGCCAAACCCAATCAATATCTATTGTCCACCTGGAAAAATAGTTAGCATACGTTAACCGGTTTGACATTTTTTTAAACCAGTTCAGGCCTATTTAGGCCGTGCCCATCTTTAATATATATAATCGTAATTAAAGCGATTAATTTTTATCTACCACATTCTGTTAGATTTAGACTCAGTAAACTTATTCAATCATATCTTTTCCAAGGTAATTTCCCATTCAACTAGCTTCCTATCCTCCTTTATTTCAGGGAAATCCCTAATTTTTATTTATGTTAAAATAATTTTGTTTTTCATTTTATTCTATTGATTTAAGAATTTTTTTTAATGTGCATTGCTATAAGGAATTATAAACCATTCCAAAAAATTATTATTATAAATGTCAGCCAAAGATCTTTTAGCATTTAGCAAAATTCTCTCTTCTCATTCCAAGCTGACAATATGGTCATTAAAATGCATCTTGAAGAATCTTCCATTACAAAGCTTGTATCACGCCATTATGGCTTTCCCATATTGATAATTTATATAAACAAATGAAACTTGAAAACTAATTATTTAATTTATAAGAATGAAACTGAAAAGATTTTATATCTCCTCATTTGTGTTCATTCATTCAAACCACTAACTTTCAAATAAAGATAAAGAAAAGAAAGATCTGTTCAAAAATTCTACTTCCTACCAAGTTTTAAATGAATAGGAAAGGTTTTCCTGATTTCGATCAGGATAGCTTTGATATCGTAAAATTTTTAAAATATTCAATATATTTTTTTAGGTCAGTTTAAAAAGCGATTTTGATATGATTAATATATTAAAAATTGCTAAAAAAATTGCCATATCGGCTTCCAGCGTTAGTATTACACGTAAACATCTTATACAAGCTCGAGGTATTCTTATATATACTGTACAATAATAATAAATTAATTAGAAATTTACAAAAAATTTGACAAATAGAAGTGAAACCATTGATGTCACATGAAAAGATTTTTTTAAATTGGAAATATTGTTGAATGAGCTATTTTTTATTAAAGCATGTATTTATAGAATAATTTTAATAAAGTTATTTAATTTTATATTTAAATAGGATAGAGTACAAGTTTAGTATTTATTATATGATATCATCATTATCTTTACTTTTATAATAAATGCAGTCTAGGAGTGGGCCATGTAATGTGATGATTTTAAAATCTGGACTTAGCATTAAAATAAAACTTAAAATTTTTACCAGTGGCAAAGTAACAAGCTACTACCAGTGAATTTTTATTAACGAGACAATCAAAAATTTTAAGATATATTAATAATATTTATTTTTTGAATAAGGTGTCCAAGCACTGAATTATTGAATATATTTTTAGATTTTAATATTTTTTTTAAAATTGAAATTCTTGTTAGATTAGAATCTATTTTGTCTTATTCTGTTACAATAAATTTATTCTTTCTAAATATGATAACTATATTCTGCACCTATGATGGAACTTGTTCTAAGTCACAAAAAGCATCTATTACCAACAAATATACTTTAAAATCTTCTAGGAGATATAAGCAAGATTCCCAATTTTTGCTCTTTCTTTCTTTGCTTTATTGTGCTCTTACCCCTGTGATTACTGAAGTTAGGATAAATTTCCATAATTTTTGATGTTTCTTTCTTTGCTTTATCATGCTCTTACCCCTGTGATTACTGAAGTTAGGATAAATTTCCATATTTAAAAATTTTTTTATCCATATGGTATATAATAAAAATTCCCATTTTTTAATTAAACACCTTATTTATCATTCTAAATATTAATCTAGAATAAATTTCATTTAAGTTTAGAAATTACCAATAAATATTTTAGGAAATTAAGATGTAATATTTGAAATTTGCTATTGAGCTAGTTATTAGAAAAATTATGAATGCAAGTATTGTTTTTTCAAATTTTTTTATAGTTTGTGTTCCTTCTTTTTTCTATAATTACTTGTCAAAATTTCCTGAATTAAAGTATATTTTTAATAAATTTCGAACATGATTGCAATGAATAGATAATTTTTTAAAATAATACAAAATTTTGATTGAGCCAAAGGGATGTTTGTTCCTCCTAATTATTTAATATATTTTAAATATAGGTAACTTCCAGAAGAAGATTTGCAAAAAAATGTCTTAGCCATGAGTCTTCTTTCTCGTGCCCTGCTTCTATTTTGTTAGCTTTACAGGCTATATATTATCTTCTATTTATTTATTTTTAGAAATTTTTGCGGTGTTGTTTTCCATGAATTCAATTACGAATCTGTAAGTTTATTTTAACTAAAAATATGCTGGCTATAATTTTTTAATATAAATTTAAAAATTATTAACGAGCTGTGAAAAAAATTATTTACCTTCTGATATTCATTGGTATTCAGTCACCATTCATCATTTCCAATTATTAACCAGAGACCTTGGTTGAAAAAATGGTAAGATTAGAGCACTTAGTTGGGGTGGGGAGTGGGGCTGTATTTGTATTTTCAGAAGTAGCCTTTAAAAAAATATGAATCCATTTCAGTATGTTCATGATCAGAATTTGGACCAAGAACCCCAAACAAATCAGAACCCTCATAACATTACCAGAAACTTGTTTGGACAAAAGAGCAAATGTTTTTATATAAATCGTCGCCTGAGGATTAGATTAATCCGTCTTCACTTTTCGTAATTATACGACCAAGAAATCTTAAAAATTAAGTTTCTATTGTTTTCAAAAATTTAATAAATATTTTCTGATTTTTTATAAAGAATAGGATAATTATAAAAAAAAAATTGATTTGTTTTTTTTTAAAAAAAGACATTTTCGACCAAGTGCATATGAAGTCTTGTTTAAAAGGCTCTATTTTTTAAAAAAGGGGTACAATATTTTAGCCAAAAAAATATTACACAAACTCGAAGATTTTCCTCGTGGATGGCAGAAAGATTTTGGCATCTGTTAACGAATCTCGGGGCTTACGTAATATTTTTTGGCTAAAATATTGGGTTAGCCGTTTTAAAAAAAAATCGGGTCCTTGTTAATATGGTGTAAAAATTTAAAAGATATCGACACAAAATAAATTTATTTTAAAATATAACTAATTGACTATTAACTTAATAAATTCTATATATATATATATACTTTTTAAAAGTAAATAACATCAATATTATTTAGTGAAAGAAATAATATAACAAGTAAGGTAAAATTTAAGTTAATATAATTCTAAATATATAAACAGTACTTAATCTACTCCACAATTAATCGCGAAATAGGCACACCGAACAAAATAATTTCTAGTATCACCACCATTACAGTCCTCGTTATGGTTTGCACATTGACTAGTAAACTACTACAATTCAACCACCACAATTTTATTATATTTGAAATTTCAGAAATAAATAAAAAACAATTAGATTATTCCATCTCCACTTTTTCTAATTTTACAGCCAAACAATATTGGGTTAGTCGTTTTTTAAAAAAAATCGAGTTGTTTAACACGGAATATATATTAACCTAATTCTCAGGCGAACGAAATACTGTTTTGTAGAGTGATTTCTTAGCTGCCATAATTTCTTACCCTAGCAAATCAGAATTATTCCGTTGAAATAAAAAAAAACCGTAAAATATAGTGTTGTTAAATGGCTCGATTTGAGCCTGTTATTTGAAAACGGCTAGCTAAATATTTTATCCAGAATAATATTATCCAAGCCTGAAGATTTTGGTCACAGATGGCACGAAGTTTTGGACATCCATTAGCGAAATCTTGAGGCTTATAGTCAATATTTCGTGACTAAAATATTGAGTTAGCCGTTTTTAAAAAATCAGCTCAAATCGAACCATCTAATGACACCAGTAAAATGGAAGCGTTTGAAAAATCATTTACTGCTCAATACTTTCAATTTATAAAATTAATTCAGAATAGCCTAGACCAGGTACCGTAAAAAATTTTTTATTAAAAATAAAAATCTGTACCGAAGCTTTAAAATATATTTTATTTCCGAATTCAGTTGACGCCTAAAATTCCGGCCACAACAGGATCCGATATGATAATTTGAAACACGAAGCCCCAAAACCGCGCCAAATTTAAGAACCGATATCCATTTTTTTAGCAATCTTAGAAACCGGAACTGTTATATTATTTCATATCAAATCGAATATTTTTTTACACGATACAAATAAAAATGTTATACATTATATATTCGCGACATTATTTCTAAATTTGAGGGGCCCTTTAATTATAATTTTAAACTCTTGAAAATATTTGGCTATAATTTATCAACGTCAATAAAGTATTGCAACGGAACATATTCTTTAATATACAATTTAAATATCGCGATCTATAACGACTACACAAAAAATCGTAGAATAGTAATATATGAATTGAGCCGAGGTCAGCTTAGGCTTCTTGTCTCTATCCCCTTGCGTCATTTCATCTAAAATCAATCGACTGCGGTGGTCATCCGGGTCATCATCGCCAGGAATTGAATCCGGGTTTTTTCCTGCTAAATTTAAAATCTGTTCAAAATCTTGGGGATCATTCGTATGTTTATATCCAAATTCTCTGTAAAGTATTGTGTCATTTCTTGGGATAGCATCATCATGATTATCCGCGCTTTGTCCCACTTTAGGCTCGTCTTCGAAAGATTTGTTTGACGTTTTGACCTTGTCGGCATCGTAAGTTTGGCAACCGGGAGACTGGTAAGCGATCTCTCCATTGCCGAAAAGGCCTACGATAGGAACATCCGGAAAATAGGAGTGGAACATAAGACTCTCGACGTTTTGTTGCCAAGAGTAAATATGTTTACCCCTCCCTATGCAGGAGAACATGAAGGCGAACGGGTTAAGGTGTCTATCGGCGAAAGTAGATGCTAAAGCTTTTTTTTCACAAGGAAAACATAAAAATTTGAATACTTCTTGATAAAAAAATCTATGGATTTAAAATTTATTGAAATTTGTAATACCAAATAATTACTATAATAAAAATTATTATAATCAGATCAGGGTCTTCTAAACATTTAGCTATAGCATTTTAGTACGAAAAGTAGTTTCATAAAGTAATGTCACTAAAAAAAATAACTTCGTTTTTCGCTACTATCTTCGGATAAGTAACGAGTAAAAATAACGAAATATTTTTCTTTTGAGTAACAATTACGTTATCTTTTAGCATATTTTAAATATGTAAAAATTTACTAAAATATGCGAAATTATTAGTGCTGTAAACATTACTATAAAAAGTAACGCGTTACCTCTAGAAGAAGGTTTATTTTATAAATATATATATATATGTATTTTTTTTTAAATTTATTTAAATATTAATTTTAGCCGAGTGTTCAGAACAAGTCAAAAACGATTAATATATGAAATTAAATTCAAATTTTTTTTTCCGATTAGCATTTGTCTTTAGCAGGTTAATTTTTTTTCAAAAAAAAATGCCCGCTTACGCATATTTTTATAAAAAAGCCGCATTCATAGGTGCCATCTATGAATTGATTCCAGTGAAAAAAATTCTCCCCTAGCAGAGTTGTTAAAAGATACTTTTTTAATGGATCTAGATACAGATACATCGTCTAAAATAATATCTAGATACCGATATTTTAATCAAAAATCTATCGAGATACAGATCCCACATTTTTATATCGATACAGGATCTAGATACGTATCTAGATCCTTTAACAACTCTGTCCCCTAGTCATGCAAAAATAGCTCCATTTGGGCCGATTTTTAAAAATGACTCACTCAATATTTTCGCCATGGCTTATAGTGGCGGTCCAAACCTTTCTGCTATCTATGAGCAAAATCTCCCAGGGCTTACATAATATTTATTTTGGATATAATCTCTCGATTCCACTATTTTTAAAAATAGACCCACACTACTGATCACCATTAGGAAAATACTATTTAACAGCTAATTGATTTTTAAAATCTGTTTATGAGAATCAATTATTCTTTATTAAAATCATTATTTCTTAGATTATTATTAAAATTTGAATTAAAGATAAAATTAATATTAATAAATAAAAATTGATCTCGTAAACAGATTTTAAAAATCAATCAGCTGTTAAATCGCGATCGCAATCGCGCCACTATGAATTCAAGGTAACGCACCAACAAAATTGAGCCATGTTCGTTTATCTGATTAAAATTTTTGAAGATTATTGCAAAACAAATGTTAAAATTCAAAAAAAAAATGTGTTTGTAACAATAATGGAACTAACATAATAAAATAAAACGATTTTATTTGGTAAATTAGAATAAATTTATTATATTTTATATCAGATACCCGTAAGGCCTGGCCCGTAAAAGAAATATAACGATGCATTTGGGCTTAAAACAAAGCTTATAAAGATCCTGAATTTTGGATTTAAGATCTTAGGGGGTTCTACTCCCCCTTTTTTGGAAGGTGACAAGAACTTATAATTTAAAAACTTTTAATATTCGAATAATCTAGAGTGCGATTATCTTATATTTATTTACAAACGGGAATAATAATGAATGAAATAAATTAATGTGTAGCATGATTTAACAGCTAATAGTTTGGAAAATCTTTTGATGAGCTAAATTATAAAATTTTTTTGAATATTAATTATTTTATCTTTAATTCCAATCATTAAATGTTAATTAATAAATGGATACCCATCTCATTAAATCAATAAGTTGTTAAATCACAATAAATGTAAATTTATGCACACATATTGCCGGCCTAGAATTGGAGTGCTACACTTGCGCAAATGTTTAAAGTGAGAAAATCAACATGAAAAATTATAAAATCAAAATATAGGAAAAACTTTATTGATCAATTTTGACAGAACTATAACTTTGGGCAAAAATTAAATTTTTTTTTTAAATCTAGTTTTTATTTTTATATATATATTGGTAAATAAGTTTATTATCCACTTCTAACTCAAAAATTTTGAAAATGTCGAAGTGGAAAACTCCCTTGATTTGATTTAAAGTCCTCTATTTATGTTAATTATAAATGAGATAATCAATTAAGGTTCAAGATCTATTCATAAATTTGCTGGACATTTTTTTCAAATATATTCAATTTTTTTTCAATCTAGACAAACAGAATGAATGACACTATCTTTTTGAAAAAATTTATATATTCGATTATGAAACAGTCTGATTTAAATATTATCATATTAAATAAAAATTTATCTTAAAATACTTCTTTTTTTTCATTTTATACAAATCTGAATTCTTTACAATATCATCTTTTTTAAAGATTTAAAAATCTAAAAAAACTACAAGATCACGTACTTTTAACTCAATTAAAGCAAACTAACTCATAATTTATACTATTGTATGATATAAAACTAAACTCTTACTCCTTAGTATAGTTGGGCAATCACTATATTTTTAGCAGTTTAAGTCCTATTTTTAGCCTACTAAAAAAAATCGGCTGAACCAAGTTTTTAGCCAAAAACTATCATTTCGGCCTTGGGGTTTTTCTTAAAATGATAGCAGCTCAAATTTGGAAGAAACTAAAATAAAGCCATTACCTAACTATACTAATTAGTGAGTAAAATAAAAATGGGATAAAAATTAAGTGTTTGGTTTTCCTTATAATTTTGACCTGATATTTTGTTCTAATCCTAACTCAGAAACTTCAAAATCTCAAGTAAGAGCACCCCAATTCTAAGGTAGTCACCACATTTTCCTATTAATTAAAGTGAATTTAATCATCAACTATAAATTAATAATTCAGTATACAATAGATTCTTGTTGTTTTTTTAATAGAAGAAAAATGTAGAATCATTTTAAAAAAATAACCATTATAGCTGTTTTTCAAATGTTTGATTCTATTCCCCAGCGAAATCTGATCTATGCATGATGAAGGGATAATTTCTAGAAGCACATCTTTTATCTGTTCCCCTCTCAAAAAGATCAATAGAATGCTTGGTGCTAACCTTTCAAAAATTTTGTGGTGTTTTATTCTATGGGAATCTTCTCTATCATATATGTTTTTTTAAAATATATTTAGATAATGCAAAACTGACAAGTTTTAAAATATTCTTACAAATCATATTATTATTGATATATAAGAAATTATATTACCAAATTTAGATAAATATGATCAAAGTTTGAGTCTTTTCAATTTTAGATGCAAAAAATTGTGTCAAATAAAATATCTGGAAGTATATCATTATGGGTATCAGCATAATACCTTAAATTACAAAAGACTTTAAAGTAAAGATAATATCATAATTATAAGAATAACCTATTTCTAAATGTATGAGAATTATTAGTTAATATATCCAATCCATCTACAAGTGCACCAATTATTTTGATCTTGGAATTGTTGCTTTCATAAGTATCTCGTATTATTATCAATATTTTTCTTAATATTTGAGTTTCTATGATAGAATCAGCAAAGAAGAGAACACATCTAGCATCAAATGGAAAATCTGTATGCCTCTTGTTTGAAAAATATTTTGCTAAATCAAATTTGCATTTTGATTTATTTTTATGGTTAATAAAATGTTTAATATCCTTTCTAGGAATATCCAACATTTCAAAATTTAATCGTTTAGATTTAGTGGCAGACAGATACTTGTCCTTGGCTAAATGATTTCGTGTCGAAAATAAGTAGGAAGAGAAAGATTGTGAAGATTCATATTCAAATGTACTGCAAGTAGAATATTTTCCATTATTATATATATATGGATCATAGGAAGTGCCTAATAAAATTAGGTATAAAAGCTTGTTTATTATAAATTACCTATAACTCCATCTGTAATAATATATAGAATAATACAATCAGCTGGCATTTTTAATTTGAGATAATTAAATAATGATGGTTTAATTTGTAAAGGTTCTCCAGATTCATTTATTTTATAACATTGAGCATATAAATTATAGGATATGATAAATATGGCAAAATCTGGATATATAGGTAAAGTCTAAAAATAAAGGTTTATTTGAAATACTGTCTATAAAAATTTACTTCGGCTATTAAATCCAAATAATTTAAAGATATATATTGTTCGAGTAAGCTATTTTCGCGAAAAGCATAAAGAGCACAAGAGATCCTAGATCTCTTTTCCAGTATACTATTTATCACAGACGTCCAAAATTTATTAACTCTATTTCTTTTTAAATTTATTTAATAAATAATATATTACTTTTTAACTTCTAAAAGATATTTGGCTGGATATTTATTTAATATATTTTCCAATATGATAGGATTCCCAAATATAAGTTCATTCAAATCCATCTTTTTAAATCAGTCGTTTGACCGAATCTAAAATTTTGCTAATACTTCATCATCCCGACGATCTAAATTAAATCTATAATAAGTCATATAAGCAACGCCCTTTCGCTACATATATTACATCAAATCAATTTTTGTTATTACTTTTAATATTTTATAAAGTACCTTATATTATATGTAAATAATATATGTTCTATTATTTTAGTACACAAATGTTAATTTAGAATTAATAAAAATATATCATTATTTTTCTTATTTTAATCTTAAATAATAAACGTTAACGATTATAATGATAAAAGAAATATTTAGTATACAGAATATTTAGGCAATTAAATTATAGTAAATAATATGTTGTGGAAATATATCTTTATTCATTTGGATAAATGCTTATCATATTGATAAATATTGAAGATTTTTTTGGTTAGGTTGCTTTTTATTTGTTTTTTATAGTAATTTTTTTTAATGTTCACGAACAATTTTAGTAAGTAAAATATTGGGAAGTTTGTAACAGGCGCCTAACCAGCCCCCCCCCCCCACCCTCATCGCGAATGCCTGTAAATATCATTTCAAGGTAATAAAAATTTTCCCACTACACAGCCCTCACCCCAAAAAAATGTAAACCAATATATTACGAATTTGAATGATAAATTAGTAAAAATAAATTAGTAAAAGTGAATAACTTTATAAATATAGATCATAATTCAAGATCTTTTAAAAAAAAAATCATTTTTATATTTGAAAAAAGTGAAAAACCAAGATTATTTTTATAATATAGCTAAAGGCCTACAATAAGTAGACCTAAAGAAAGATCTCCAATAAAATTTACCCCTTCCCTTCCTTAACAAAATATCTGATTCATTTGTATGTAGGGTAATAATATTTTATTATAAATTATATTAATGGCTATGCGATTAAGTAAAACATTTAGAATATAATAATTTAACAAATAAATTTGTCTCCAAAACTCGGACCTGGACCCAAACCCTTTGTTTTTGTCGAAGGATTCACAACCCTGCTTTACCCTATTCTCGTTTATATCTATCAAATTTATTTGCTTCTAATTAATTTAATACTTTGAATCATTCATCGGGGGGTCATTTTTAGAATTTTCAAAAAAATCTGATTTGATTGGAGTTGCATTTCAGCGTGTATTGAATTGCTCTGGATATCGATTAATTTCTCCCCACATTTTCAGAAAAAGATCATATCTTAAAAAAATTCACTATTTTTTAGAGTTCTCCAAAGTTTTTAAGGTGTTGAGCCCCTATTCATTTCCTCCTAATGACCCTACTATAATGAATTATATTACTATACTAAACCAAAAAAAAATGACAGTGTATCATTTCTAATTTATTTTAAAATTCCGATATCTTTTATTTATTAAAAGTATATATATAAATTATATAAAAATAATAATAATGATGGTAACTATAACGACAAAGATAATAAACTCTATATAATGTTTAACTGGAATTATATTTTTACGATAAAACTCCCGTTTTTAGTGGTAAAACTGGTAAATGAGATATAAAACCTAAAAAGAGGGTGATTAAGAGAAGAGTTATTATCAATTTAAGGATGAGGATAGTATAAAAAAGAAAAGCTTTTTGATAGGTTAATAAATATAGTAAGAGAGATAATTGCTTCAATAATTATTTTAATCAAATAAATATGAGGATAGTAATAGACCAAGAAGTCCCGCTGTGATTGTTAAAGACCATTCAAATGCCTATGATTGATAATAAAAAAAATAAAAGCAAAACAGATTGTACGATAATTCTAAAATATATATAATTAAAGAAAATTAGCCAAATTTTTAAATCGCCATTATTATATATAAAAATTAAAAATAAATATTATATATTTTTAAAAAAAAATCCTGGTAGGCCTTGGAAATAGCACCATCTCTGATATTTATTAATATAAAAAATAATTTTTTTAAAAATTTAAATTGTTTTATATTAATTATATTTTATCTGTTCCAGACCCTATGATTAGTTGCTTTTCATCCTATATCTGAGAGGACGAATAGCAATTCCTCCAGATGCTGCAATACACAAGTGTCTCATTATCGATAACTATAAAAATCGAATTGAATATCTTCCGCCCATATTCACCTCGACATAATTCTATTAAAAAAACTTTTTCGGGGTCGTGAAAAACAAATGAACATATAAATTCCACGGTAAAAAAAATGGAGATCAAATAGTTGTAAAATTAGATTTATCTATAAGCAAAACAATAATAATTAAAATAAATATAACCAATTTATTTTAAATAATAAAAAATTTTTTTTAAAAAAAACATTAAATACCACATTCCCAAAGATATAATGACCAAATCATATCAGGAACGCATTTGGTGGTTACAGGTTTTTTAGTTGGTCTAGTTATAACCAATACTTTGGTCTTTTTCGTACTGAATTGATCAAGACCATCGCCAGCACCCTTAGACGCCACCTTTTTTTTCAACAAGGCTCTTTTCACCCTCAACGCTGAATTTTGGTTATGTGGTTTATATTCAAAAATTATATTTATAATTTATAATTATAATAAAGATGGCAATAAATATAACACAGTTTTTTACATATGAGTTTTTCAAACGTTATAATTAATTATTTAAAATTATAATCCTTTTTTTTCTTTCTTTCTTTCTTTCTTTCTTTCTTTCTTTCTTTCTTTCTTTCTTTCTTTCTTTCTTTCTTTCTTTCTTTCTTTCTTTCTTTTAACAATTTTCTAGCAAAACAAATTCCTAATCCATACTGAAAACCTCTATAAATTTTAAATGCTGAATAAATTAATAACCCACTAAAAATCTGTACTGTTAGAACCCCTGCGTAGTAAGCTTTCTAGCCCCGACCTAACTAGTAAACAATATTTTTATATGAGTTCGAGTTTCCTATCCCCCATTCGTAAATCATTTTTTGCAGGGTTTTCTGCACCCGAATTCGGGTGCTGTTTTGAACACTATTTAGCGGAAATCTGATAATAGGGAACTTAACCTAAAACATTTTATAAATGAGATCGAACCAGCCCCGGTCCAGAACCCTCTTTTTTATTTTTGGTAGATATAATAATATATTTGAATTCTTAATTTATAAAAAAAAAATTAACAAAAAGAAAAGAGGATATTTCAGATCTCTAGCTTCACATTATTTATATTTAGTCTCTACCACTTTAATAAAAGAATTAATAAATTTTTAATGTTACGTTTATTTATTTGTACCATTCAAATTAACGTCTACAACATCGTTTTTCTGACGGGAAGCTATTGATTCCAACATTTCCACCTTCTCCTTAGATACCCTTTGCTTTAAGTTTTCTCTTTTTTTATTGATAAATTTTTTTTAAAAAAAAGTAATATAAATCATATTCCAGAAACCGGAAATAAGAATATCTACAAAATTTTCAGCCATCGAAACTGCAACAAAATGGCAACTAATTTATATTTATATTTATATATATAGTTAAAAAATTTTTAACCTCTTTTAGAGAATTGCCAGGTCAAAATTTTTCGATTTGACAAGAGGAAAATTGTATTTTATAAAAAAAAAACAATGTAATTTATTTCCTTTATAAATAATCCTAAATTAAAAACGTATTTTTTGCGTTTTATTTTATGAATACTAGTTTTTTATTATTTTTTTCCCCCCAATTTAAGGCTATGTTCCTAGGTCGGCTTAATTTGAATACTTAATTGCATTTTTATCATTGTCTAAAAAGTTTTAGAATGAGGATTTGTTTTTTTTGTTTATTTGGTTATGTTTTTTTTTCGTTTCTTAAAAAAAATTTTCTATTTGTTTTTTGCATGTTTTTTTGTTGTTTTTTTCGTTTTTTTTAATAAAATTTTTTGGCTATTTAGTAATAAGCCGACCAAGAGCACACGGCCTGATAGGGTATAGTTTTTTTTTACATACATAGACTTAACGCAAAACAAACTTTCAAATTTAAAAATACTTAATTGGTTATTATTTTAATTATATTAAATTCATTGTAAGAAATATTAACAAATCACTGCAAGTCACCCTCATAAACCAGGAAAAATTTACTCCTGATACTGTCCAAATAACCGAGAAATAATACAACATTAAAACTCCATTATATTTTAAAATGCTTAGCTTTAATATAAAAAGATGGAGATTATGACATTTAATATCTATTTAGAATCAAGTATCATTTTATTCTCATAATTTTATATATTTATTGATGTTATCATCTTTTCGTTATCTAATGTTAGAACCAAATTTTTATACGATTGAAGATATTTTCTAAATTTTTAAACGATATTTCAAAATTTTCTTATATAAAATGCGATACTTATGAAATGAAATGGGCAATTGAACATTGAAAATATCTCTTTTAAAAAGATAGTTAATAACATCTAGAAAAACTTTAAATTTTATAATTATATACAAGACGATACCTCGCTTTACTCGCAAACTAAAGAGGGGGGATGTGCTCGTATGGTCGTATTTAGTGGTAAACGGCTCAATTTTTTTTAAAAAAAGGTTAACGCAGTATTTTAGCCAAAAAGAGTATTTATAAGCCTGGCGATAATGTTAATAGATATTATACAAACCTTTTTGCCATCAGTGAGTAAAATCTTCCTGGCTAGAATATTGGGCATCTTGAAAAAGTTTACTAGTCGTGTAGAGACTAGCTTACAAATAGGAAATAAAAGGAAGAAGGTTTCTGATATTTATTCATTTGAGGATATATCGCTTATAAAACAAACTGGACATGTTTATTGACAATTCCTTAGATTAAACGTTAAAACAGATATAGATTCAAATAACGGTAGAATTGCCTTTGAACGTTTTTGTGGGTGTTTGAGATAAAAAAAAATTAGCGGTAGTCTCCTGCTGATGGGGCGAAGAGAACCTGGTAACTATGTATTGAATCATTCTAGATGGTTTTTATTTAGCGCTAAGTTTGAAAACAGAATTAAGAACCCCGTTTGCTTTAACAAAAAGTGCGTATAATTTATGTGCAACACTTTATTTTGCCCAAAATGTGTAAATTCATTTTAGAGGGTTTATTTATTGTCTA